ACAATTTTGTTGACATCCATACGAAAATGGTATTATCTTACAGCTGGTGAGTGAATTAAAGTAAACTATTGTAATGTTAAGAAAAGAATCGTTGTCACAAGCCATTTTGAAACTACAGTAATACGATTTTGTTTACATCATATTTCTATCTGATGTCATTGGTGAGCGTAAAAGTCGAACCACGGGTTCAATGACTAGAGGGGAGAAAAGTTCTGTGCAAGTAGCACTTAAACTTAAAATCATAAAAGTGTATGGGTCTATTTTTGTTTACTTGCATACTTTAACATTACTGAGTTGTTATTATTTCAGTGACCAAATGTCTATGGTTTGTATTATAAATGTTTTTGTAAATTATAAAATGCCTGTTTACGATATTGTTTTAACGATTAAACCCAATCAAATGCAACCGAGCAAGGCTCGGTCCCCCGCTACTTTGTATAAAATGTAACGTTAGATTTTATGTTGTGATGTGATTTTGAGTATTCATAGTAGTTTTGTTAATGTTTTAATGAATTCAAGTAAAATGTTGTAATAATATGTGTTTAAAATGTAAATAAGAACATGTACGTTAGATTTTGTGTTTTTATATAATAATTTTTCTAAGATGCATCGAAGAGATCATGCACGCAATGAAAAAAATAATGCACGCAATGCAAATAATAGAGATATGATGAGAAAAAATCGTTTTCACGCTTTTCAACTATATGTCAAATATATTCATGATTTTGAAGCCACGAAGTGTCGCTAATTGCTAGTATTTAATAATAATTTTTATCAATACAATGGAAAAAAGCTGGTTTAGTCGTAGATTGAGACTTCGGTTCCCGAGGTTTCGGGTTGATATCCTACCAATCGGTAACGACCTAAACCAAATATGATAATGCTGCACTTTATATGTAGCCTGAAGCAATTATTTAAACGGTTCCGAGCTATAGCTGAATATATAAACGTAGTACGTTAAAAAGCTCTAACAGTAAATTTCAAGTCATTGTAATCAGGACATATTGCTGATTATTTCAACCTGTAAGTAAGTAATGGATGAATGTATACACGCGTGAATTGTCTTTTTTAGTTTTGTTAAATACTAAGGCAACATGATCATAAGCCCAGACCATTTATCAAAGGCCAAGAAATGAAGGGGCCCATGATTCAGTTTCGTATTTCGAAATGTCTAACCCAATTATTATCAAATTAAATTAAGAACATAAATCCTAACAATAAGTTTTTTTTTTTTACGGAAACGTGTTTTTCCAAAACAACGAATTACACTTTTTTAAAACGCATAAATCTTCGTCAATTAAAGAAATGATATAAAAACTACAATGCATGTTCCTTTAAACTAAACTGGTAAAGGTTTGAATTGAATTACAAAAAAGCCAATTCGCCTGATATAAATGCATTTTACAAAAACGTGAAAGCCACGTTTAGCCTAAAAGGTATCATTACAGTCGGTTTTCAAAGATTCGTTGTAAAGAAACAGCCAGAGCTTTCAAGCGAGGCGAAACTGTCAGCGTCCTTTAAATTAAATTCTTTCTTCCGAGAAAACCACTCTTTTCTGTCTGTTTATGGTAGACTTCGTTCTTATTTAATTGGATAAATTGGAAAGAAAGTGAATCCCAATAATTGGTTTAAGTAGATTTTCCGTGACGTTATTACCTTAAGATTGAGTTTTATCAACTTAAATATAAATATGGATCGGCAAGCAAAGTTTAATGTTTTGGTTCGCCAGTAAATAAATTTACATTTTTAATTTACAATAAAATTTTAACCGATTAGCAAATCCGCATTTTCCAAATACTTTGATTGTTGGATTTGAATTAAATATACTCAAGCTTTTATATTTACATGTTTTAATTTGTTTTATAACCGCTATGTTAAGTTGATTTAAAATGGTGTATACACATTATTTTACAAGTAAAATACATTATACTCCGTCATAATATTTCTATATATTTTTGTTTTAATTATTACTATTAAAATAGTTGTTTTATACCAAACTCAAACTTAATGGCGAGAGTTATTTACAAAGAATTAAATAAAGATAAGCTTCAATCATTCGGTGTACTTTATTAACCTTTTGTGTTAAAATATTAACCTTAAAAACTCACCAATTTCAATGAGTCCTGTAAAACCCAGAAAGTGAAATCAACTAATGACAAATCCAATATTTTTGGAGATTTCCTTGAAATAACCACTTTCGTAACACAAGACACTAACACTGAACACACGACTTAAGGAACTCTGGCGGTTTACTCCTGACCACTACAACACAAATGATCAACTGAAAACTATCGTTGGTCGAAGAGTCGTACCACTGATAGGACAACACTATCAGTTACACTCACTAACTAATGTGTATTTTACTAATATAAACATTCAACTCTTTTGCTGTCGTGACTCACCCCAAGAATGTTTTTAGGATTCGGGCAAAGGTCAAAAATAGTGAGTCAGGTCCAGAGATTTGAGAAATAGTTGAAAACAATCAAAGGTGAAGATTTATTAGATCTTTTCTTTTATAAATAATTTTTTTCTCAAGCTGTTCATTCATCAATAATGATTTTTTACAATTCCATCTTTGCCTCTGTAAAAAAAATACTCTAGAAGGGTGCTTATGCTTAGTCTAAGCTAAGAAACATAATAAAGCTATAAGGAAATACTAATAACTCAAGTGAAGTTTTCCTCATTTTTTTTTTAATCTTTTACTTTGTTTCCGAAAGAACAGAAGCTAGTAGCTTGACGACATGAGTGTTATACTCTATAGTTTAGAAATTAATTCACATTGTCAATTTACTTAACGAAATATAACTGTAAAGGGTTGTATTGAACTGTTTATCCAAGATGTATTAAACCTTAACTATAGAACAATAACCATCCTGGTTTTGCTGCTTTCAAGGAAAGTATTTACCTACATAAACAATGATAAGATAAGCTCCGATAATTAAGCCCATGTTTGAATGTCAAAGATATTAAGCAAGCTAATTAGTGGGAGTATATCACTTCATCAGGTTCTAACTAATAACACCATGCTTTGTTTATAAGTAGATAAGACACGAAACATGTTTTCTTTGTTCTACTCCTTTACGAGATTAGTTAATTCCACCTTTTAAACGGAAGGAAAGCCGCAAAGGAATGTTGGTTGGTTAAAGTAAAAATACACTGTCATACTGATAGGAACACTACAAAACGGAAAAATCAATTTCTTTCAATTAGTTTTGTATAATACATATCTGCCGATTAATAATAGAGCACAAAACTACCCTTAAGTGTTATGGGTCAATTGTTATTTCAACCAAGGAATAAAGGATAACCAATAGTTAATTTTTTTTTTAGCATAAAAGTTATTTAACGGACGGTTTTTTTCTGAGGTAAATAGTTTTATTACTGCTTCAGTATATAAAGTTTAACCACAAACAAATAAATCTTTTGTTAGTGTCGATTGTATGATCTATTTTCTTAATTAGACATATTCTGCAATGCAAGATATGAGGTGTTTATCGCAAAAACAGTGTATATAGGCTTTTATTAGCCATATCAAGCTGACCTTAGTTCTTATTAATTTAAGATATGGTATAATATTTCTTACAAGATTAATATTCGTGTGTGAGTAATCATTCAGCACAGTTCAGTGCTTTGTTAAGTTTCCCTTGGTAACTAAGCTTTGAAATGAAATAGAAACAGATTTTAAGGTTTGCTAATAATAACTTGCATCACGTGAAATTGCAAAACAAAGAAGATATTAAGTGAAGACACTTTCTAACTTACTGTAGCTGGTTATCTGAAGGGATATAACATAAATGTGGTACTTGCCTATTTACTTTAAGGTCGCTAGTCTAATCCTGAGAAAATTAAGAAGCTATAAGGTTTCGAAATGAGTCAGCTGCCCTTGAATATGGTCGTAACAAAAACGGCATATCATCGGCAGTAAAAATGGTAAATAGATAATCAATTTCATTTTACATTCACCCTGAATTTATATTCGGCTTACCCTTGCCCAATGGACGTCATAGAATTGATTAAGCTATGTCAAACGCATCACTTGCAACGGAGTACGTCACCTAAAGTGATGTGGGTTTCCAGAAACGTCCGAGAACCTAAAGTGGCTTTCAAACAAAAACCGAAATTCCAACCTAATTGCTCACCTCAAGAAAAAAGAAGTGTGACCCACCCACTCTGTGGGGGACGAAAACATCTTTGAGAGGCAAAAAAATCCAAAAGTCCCGAAACCGGGCAGTGTCACCGGTAGCGGCATAGCACTGACTACACTACCAAACACATTGTGGTAGTGTAACACATATTCGCGGTCCACTGAACCTCACCAAGGTTCTAGAGGTCCATACAATACGGTGTTGAGCTGTAACAGTTGCATAATGTAGTGAAAGTACGGTGTTACACTGTGGTCCTAATGTGCAGTGCTCTAATGCCTACAGTTATGTTCCGGCAACATGACCTAGAAATAGGCATCATCAAGCACTGCCACGTCATAGAAGATGACTTTCGACTCTTCCCGTTACCTGTAGTTTATCTCGTAGTTATTTTAAGAGGTTTAAATTAGGAATTATTACAAACGATCAGTAGTTGTGGAGTGTACACAATTTTTTCTTGGGACCGTTTTCAATTCAATTTTTAAAATTGAAAAGTATAACTTTACCGCATTGTTTACTACACCTTAGTGTGGTAAAGTGACGGACCAATGGGGTTAAGGATTGAGAGAAAAGAGGTCAAATTGTAACGCTTCAAACGCCACCTTATCAGCTAATAGTGACCAATTAAATTGTTGATTTTCCAACTTCCGCCGAAAACTAAAACTTTCTTTTCATAACCTAAGGAGAAACTAAAAGATTTGTCAACTAAAGCCCCGCGCGCACTGCGCCGTCACGGCCGGCCTTTTCCAAAAGTCGTTCCCATGTAATGTAATGGAGGTGCGCGCACTAGGACGGCACGGCCGTCACGGACGCCACCGCCGCCACCGACGTCTGTCAGAAAGTTCGGAGGAGCGAATCTCAGGACAATTCCGTGACGTCCGTGCTGTCCCAGTGCGCGCACCCCACGGCACGGAAATTTGTATCATGTCTAGAAAGACTTTCATCTAGGTTTCGAAGTAGACATTCGAACTTTTCATGGGTCATCCTAAAGTACTGGAAACATTTGTCATCGTCCTCTACAAGATCGGGGAATAATGTGTGAAATTCACCAAAACCTAGTCGTTTTCTATTTATATTATGTATCCAAAATCTCGCTTTCCTCTTCCTCTTCCTCTCCTCTTCCTCTTCTCCTAAAATTAATCCAACTACCACCACGTCTTCGTCGATATCCATAGCTCCCACACTCTCACTGCTCACAGCAAAACAACTCAATTGCAAAATACATCAGTCCAAAATGCTGTCACGGCCGGCCGTGCCGTCGCAGTGCGCGCACCCCCCCTGAAAAAGGCGGTGACGGCGGTGACGGCCGTGACGGCCGTGACGGCCGTGACGGCCGTGACGGCGCAGTGCGCGCGTACCTTAACAGTTGCAGGAAAGCTTATGAAACATATTTTAAATGTCAGACAGTTCTAGTGAAATAGACGACGTGGAAGTAAGGGTTAAATGGTTTGTGATAATCTTTTACTACCTAAATAAAAGAATTATTTGATTTTTAATGTGTAATAATATGTAAGAGAAAGATATAGTTAGCCTAATGACGTTTTGCATACAAAATAAAAAACTGGCCTAATTAAGGTAGTGTAAGCAACTCGCGTAATAAGTCTTTATGACACTCGTAGAAGTTTTAAAGACACGAGCGTAAGGCTGTTCCTTAAATCTCTACTCGTATATTCACGTGATCGTTCAGTAAACTACATTTTAAAAGACATTAGCCTAGTTTCCATTGTTTTGAACGATTCAGAATGTCAATGACCGTTAGAGTAGAGCTTTGGTTGATTGTCCTGCGAAATGGTAGAACATATTAAGCAATCTCTGGCTTAGCTGATAAAGTTGTTAATAAAATGCCACTAAATTGAAAGATGGTTAGGATTAAAATATGTAAAAGATCAAACAAATACCTATTTACATCTACTGAAAATATAATCACTGAAAAAATGTGTGAATACCTTTCAATGGCAATCCTTTTAATTCCTTTATCAACTTGTTTGTGCACATAATCGGGGGTTCCAGGCCGTGCATGGATATATTGTAGTCACATTCTTCCGAAGACCGCCCCATTTTGAAACAAAAGGTAAATTTTTTTACACACACAAACTACACGAAATGTAAACATAAAAACTCAGCTGATTTTGTGAGACAAAAATCCGTCATTTGTTGATTATAGAATGTAATGCAGCCATGAAAAATAATTAGCATTTATATATTTGTACCGAGTCCTTGTAATGTAGTGATCCTGAAAAACAAAGTCTGTTACGTAGGCAAATAATTTCCTTATTCTTTTAAGTCCTTGGATTTCAAAATTGCTGTAAGGTACTTAATTTGATTTTGAAAATCATACAACAAAACACCCTGCTCTGTGTTCTTTGATAAACAACCCCGTGTTCTAATTTATAACAAGGGTAATGCACTATTGAATTCATTCAACTCAATGGTTTCAGAGAAAAAAATCTTACCTAAATGTTATTAGAGGAACGAGACTGAAAATGCCACGAGAAACAATATTGTCTAATGCAAACACTTCCTAACTGATAACTGGCACACGCTTCTAATCTACTCCAAACTAGCTTGTAACATTGTAATGTTGATAAAATATTACACGCTAAATAAAGTACAACTCTAGGTGTTCGTTTTCGTAATAAAGCATTGAATAGAAATGCAATTATTATTTTACGATGTACCTATACTGATATGATCTAATATGCCTTCATACAAGTTTCGAAATGTTCGTACCTATACTGCAAACCACGATTACTAGAAAAAAGGTTTTTTCTAGTAATCGTGCTGCAAACTATTGCAACATAGAAAACAATATGTTTGACAGATGTTCGATTAGTGGACGATTTCTAGAAGTCACTCCCGTCCTCATCAGGCCCAATTGAGACTGTCACAGTAGCGATCAGTTTCCGATTGGGTTTGATGATGACCGGAGTGACTGGTCGAAATAAAAGTTATTGTTACATCTTCCGGACATTTACGTAATCTATATTTTGTAATTGTTCACGCTATAATTGTGCGTAAATGAAATAATGTACTATTATTTTTACATAGCCTCCTCTAATGCAAGGCTGCAGCGAGAGAAAAGTGGCAACGTCGCAGATCCGGCCTAAAACAGCTGTTGCACTGGAGCGTCTGCGCATTGTTTATGTTTGCATCGTTACTGTTATCACCATGGCAACAGGCCGGTGCGACGTTGCCACACACCAACGCCACGGCCTTGTATCAAATGAGGCTATTATTTCATTCAATATTCACCACACCCTACAATGTTATTTTATTATGTAGTTATTAAGAAATGTAAAAAAAAAATTTTAATCAAACTACACCTTCAACATTAACAATGATACATATCAAACAAATACTAAACAAGGCACTACAATAAAGAATGAAAAAAATTATCAAATAAATTCTTTAAAACTCAATGGTCAATATACTGCCACAAACCAGTCAGTTACTGTTAGATTTACGAACGATTCTTTTGATTACAAAAGTCCAACAACGGTAAAAGTTTTATCGGCTATTGTTGTACGATTGTATGTTCCATTAAAATAAAACGTTTACAATGAAATCGAACAATCAGGCTGGAACTGGTTACTGCGTCACATTTACTGTTTCGGAGAAATAACGTATCGGGAAAATAAATGTTTTAATGCTTTTCAAATGTCCTATTAGAACTGTTTTGATAAGTTATTGGACATTATTTAACGTATATTCTTAACTAAGTTTCTTATTCATTCAAGATATTAATTTTAAAAAAAGTTACAAAAGCAAAGCTGTAAAATTAACCGTATAGACAGTGTTTTTTTTTTATCTATTTAGTTTATTGGTTTTGCTTTGCGTTAAGTAAAACTAGTAATACGGTAATACTAAAAAGATCAGTATACACCTATACATTTTGCAATTGAATTGTTAGAAAGAACTATGATTTAGTTGCAAAAATTCCTTGGCTTTCAGGTTAAAACACACTACATTTTACTTTGTACCATCCGGATATTGGATAATATGAGTTAAGATCTATTTTGTCGAACAAATTATTGGTTCAAACAAAAACTACGTTCCTAAAAAGGTAATTTTTAACATACATTTTTTGACATACGACTAATATTTTTGTCGAATTTGTAGCATTATAACAGTTCTGAAAAGTAACGGTTGTGATGGTTGGTTGAAAAAAATGTTTGTAACAGACACTTGTAAAGTGATATTCATTTGTCAGTTAATCAGGAATAACTGTAAATATATGTCTAAAAATGTTAATATAATAACATATTAACACTTTTTAGAGTTTTAATACATTTGCATCTACCATGTCAACCAAGCTTTTATATTTATGTTGAGTTGGCTTGTCGGACAGAAGTGCGGTGGATTTAACTAGGGTGGTCTGCCATTTCACTTTAGACGCATAAATGAGCGAAGCATTATTTAAAGATTGTCAATGGCTAAAGCAGCTGTTCCCTTTCAACAGATTCACCGTTTGTTTGCCCGATATTATTTAAGTTCTAAAGAATGACAAATTTATCTGATAGTTCATACTGTACCTTTGTAGTGAAACTGGCCATCCTGACCATTTGCTTGTACAGTACTTTGTAAATGGGCATAGCAGGATATACTCGTGCAATCAACATTTGTTCTACAATCGTCAGGTCAGTTAATTCGTTCGGAACACTTGACACATCCATATTATTTAACGCCGTGAATTAAGTTGCATTTGAACGACAACGCGAACAAATCGGTGATTGGTTTGAAGCTGTTAGTTGTTGGCAATGACAGTTAGTGCAAGTGTAAAATTTTAGTGCATCTAATTCATGTCGGAATTGATTAGCTAACTGCCTATCATTATCAGCTTTTTCCGCCACTGCTTCATCTGGTTCTTCTTGTTCACGATGCCACTCTCTTACAATATTTGCATTATTGGTGCGACGACCAATATTACGACGTGGCCTTTGAGGCATGCTCAAAACAAATATAGCAAAACTGTTACTTCCATTGATAAACTGTTACATTCCAACTTTAACCTAGGATGAAAGTAAACATTGAAATGTAAACAAAACAGTTACAAACAATTAACATATGTTTATCTTATTTAAATAAAACTAGATAAACCCATATGCCATAAACCCATTATAATTGTTCTTTCAACTTACATTAAAATGACAAGCGAAATTGCGTGACCCGTAAAATAAAATCCAAAAGGAAATTCGCAAATATATTTTACCAAAACATTGTGCTCAGTATTCCTTAGCTGTTGGCCAAATTTCATATCGATTGGTCAAGCCATTACATTCTGATGCTCTTACAAAGAAGTTACAAAGTGAGGGAAAGTGAGCTTCGCTCAATAAAGGCATTGGCGTCATAGGTTCGTGCCTTGGTGTAGCATCTTTGAACAATTATCAGTACAGTTTCCTGTACTATAGCGGCTCACCCATCCGTTGATATGTTCCACGCACAAAACTGAAGCCCATGTGGACGAGGAAAACGTTAAAGGCTGTGTAATTTTATTTGGATTGAGATTTTGTGAATAATAAGACACACGGCTAGGAGAGAACATTATCTCTTGCTAAATATAAATAGTAATCTAAAATTATCAAGATAGTAAAGTCTAATATAATTCTACTTGTTAAGCGAGCTGGTCTAGTGTGGGACTTCGGTCTCTGAGGTCCCGGGCTCAAATCCCGCAAAAGCACCAATGGATTTTATCAAAGTGATAAAACCACAACCCCTAGCCTGATGTAATGTAAAAAACAATCCCGGGCTCGAGCCCAGTGAACTTGTCAAATAATCTAATTGTCCTAATTGATCAAATTATTATTTACTAGCGAAATTTGATAATCAATTTTAAATAATTGTATAACTGACTCGTCAAATATGGTTTCACAAATACTCATGAATATACTGAGAATTTCCATTGCATTCTTAAAATCCTCCACTCTATTACGTATGAAAAAAATCATGACATTTTTCAATAAAGAATGTCCATTGCAGGAAAAATGTCAGATACATATTTATTTACAAATCTTTATCGTAAAAATTGTGTTATATTTAAATTGAGATTCTCGCTCAAAATAAAAGTGAATATGAAAAAGTTTATTTTCAAGAGAGTAAAGTCGTGTATGAAATCTCTGTGCTTTATTTTAATCTTCTCCCAGTCCCTCAACAATTTGCAGACTTTCAACCTCTTTGCTGACATAGGACGACAGATAACATAGCAGATTCAACCACGTACTACTTTAAATTGTTCTACACAATTCGTTTTCAAACGAAAATAGTAACAAATATATTAGTAAAATGTATAGTTTAGACGGAATTCAATCACATCAAAATATTAATTAACACTTCCCTGATGTTTTACGACTTAGATCTTAAAAGAGCTCTTAAAGCTCTCAGACTAAGACTAAGACGAATATTTAAAAGATAAAAACTCCTTTCAACACTTTATATTTATCTACACTTATACTGTAAAGCTTATATCCATGGACGATATTATAAAGTTGATTGATTTTTACCAGTTATGCCGGTCGTAATCAGGCCTACATGGATATTAAGCTGATATTCATACAGCTGCCTGATTTTTGTTTGGCAACAATTTGACGTTTGGCTGAATTGTACACATTTTGATATTTAACATCACATTGGTATCTATTATCTACATACACGGTATGTAATGAATGTTTACATACCTAGGCTTCGAATATACAATGCCGTCTGGTTTTCAAACAACTGGTAGTCGATTGTAATTTATCATATTTTTTAAATCTATATCCACAGTCTTATTAGACACATTATTACCCATAAATATTTGTTCGATAACGCCAGCCAGTTTTGACTTTTTTTGCAAAAGAACTTTTTTTTTTAGATTATGTCATTAATTTACAGTCCAATGGCAGTAAAGCCCAAACAGATCTCGATTTGGAATCGAACCAGCGACCATCAGCCTAGAAGGCAAGCACCCGGTTACCCATATCATTCGGCACATTTTATTATTTTCATTTGATATCGCTTTCACATGAAAGATTTGTGTATCCCCAACAACATTAACAAAAAGTTTAAAACTACCACTTGT